GAAAAATGATAGCTTACTCTGAAGCCATTTTTAAAAAATTTCGAAAGTCAGGCTTACCCAAGCATACCTTTGTCTGAGCCATTACTCCGTCAGTTGCTGCAATTACTAATACTGCAGCATCCATCTGAGCTGTGCCGCAAATCATATTCTGCAAAAAAAAAGCTTACCTTATGGAAACTAGTGAAAGTAAAAGCAACTATAACCTTAATAAAATCTGAATGTCCAGGACAGTCAGTGTGAGAATATCGTCTATTCTTGCTTTCGTAACCGATATGTGCGATGTTTATCGTTATTCCACGCTTCTTTTCCTCTTTGGCTTTATCAATTTCGTCAAATTTCACTGGCTTTGCAAGGCCTAGGTGCATAGGAAGGTAGAATTTACATAAAGATAATAACTCGTATTAGAAATACCTTGCTTGGCAAGTACTTGAGTAATAGCAGCAGTGAGTGTTGTTTTTCCATGATCAATGTGTCCTATAGTCCCAACATTGTAGTTGGGTTTTATCGCAGTATGAGCGGGTTGAGAAGCACATCTGATAGGAGCATACCCAAGAAGACTACTATGCATAAGACTACTATTTATATCTAAAAAAGGGCTCTGGCGGCAGAATTCCCGCAAGTTTCTTGACAGCTGCAGAGCGAATGGACGGGTAAACCCCATACCTATCCTAAAAGTATCCAAAATTATTATATATTTCAAGGACGTTTGAACTTTCAAGCTCAAGAGCGCGATAGACAATGAGGTATAATAGTGATGCTAGCTCAAGTTTATGACAAATGAACACATTAGCTTATTGTAAGGATCAAATTAGAAGAATTAAAGCACGTACAAGAAGTTAGAAGCACTAAGAGACATTGCCTAGGATTAATGGCTATGTGATAGAAAAGTTATGATGAAGGCTCAATATACATTGAGAATAAATGAAAAGAATAAGTGACAGAGTACCTTTTTAGGTCGCAAAATTAGTCGACAATAATAAACGCCGATACAGATAGACCAATGAACAGACTTTATGTAAGAATATGGCGTTTTTTGTTAAGTCTGACAAGCGAAAATGTGTATACAACTACATCAGTTAATTGGCTAGGAATTTTTATTGAATTCAAATGCAGGCAAGAAGATACTATTGTTCACCCCACTAAGCTGCACAAAAGACAGGCATTATACCAATAAAGACGAAGAAGAACGTGAAACTATTAATTAGCCGTATCTCTGATTTGAGAGGAATGGAGAATATGTGGAAACTCAAATTGTAACGGGAAATGAAGTCACGCCAAGAATGAAAACTTGTATCTTTCGCAGAATTAGGGCTTAAAAATCAGCGACGGATCAAATACTCAAAATAGATTACATGCAATCGCTAAATGATATTTTGGTAGAAGGACTTTACCAGGCAAACAGCGTAGGAGCATCAACGTGGCAAGTTAGCATACTGAGAGCAAAACTGTCATAATTGAAACTCTACAAAATTGTTGCAAATGAAACGGTACCTGTGTTTTAGAGTTCAAGACTAAAAGGAAAAGCTAGGAAACTATAGCACACTTACAGTGAAAACCAAATTAGGAAAGCTTCATTTCCTCATCGCGCATGCTTCAAGTCTACCCACACTGCAATCCAACGGGAAATTGAAGCTCACTACAAAAACAAAAGTCCGATAAATCAGCTGATAATACCAGGAAACCTTCAAAATGCGCAAAAAATCTCTGCCAAGATGAACTCGAGAAATCCACATTGCGCGAACTGCAATTACGGACGAAGAACGACGGCTTCTTTGAAAAGTTGCTATTTCTGTGTCTTTTTCCTCATCGTCGTTCAGTCTCTTAAGTATTCTTCTGAGTAGCTTAGCAGCTTTCAGTATGTTAGCACTTAAACACAATGTAGAAGTGTATTCACCCATGTTTTCTTTTCACTTATTTACAGCATTCTGTAGGATTTGCTGAGACTTCTTGATTGTGACCAAATTACAGTGAAATATGCCTTAGTTAATTCCTTGTTCGCAAGCGTTGGAACTTTACTTAGTGAGGCTGAGTTACGGTATGCTTCTACAAACAATTGACAACTTGTATTGTCTTCTGAGGCAATTTCTTCTCAAACAAACTAGATTATGAGAATCTTGGAAACAGTCAGGATGAAGCTGAATCCGAGAGAAATAGGTTAAAATTAAGGGACGAAATTGAGTAATGTCATTTGTTTGTGGACATATACGGGATCTTCATGAGGATTGCAATCGCTGCGTATTCTGTCGATAACGCAATTTGTCCAAAAAGATGTCCTCTGACTGTCAATAATGAACTATAGTTCATTATTGACATTATTATAGTTTCCCTAACTTTAACCACCAGATCACGCATTTACGCCAATAGCATCAAAGCAGGTTAAATCAAAACTATATTGGTCGGTCTGAACTATCTTCATCAGTCTTTGCTGAAGTGTTTGTTAGGATTCTACTGTAGACTGCTCTAGACGGTCATAGTCACGTCGCAAGTCTTTCTTCTCTCAGGGACATCTCCTATCAAGTATTGTAGGACAGGAAAGAAGGTTCTAGAGAACGTTATGGCTTATTTGAGCCAACAACAGATTTACTAACAGCATCCCATAACTTAATCCTGTTCTTACACGGGATGAGGATTGTGTTACCCTGAGAAAGTAACTTTTTCATATCTCTTGAGAACACATTGGAGCAGTCCGATCATCTCCGTCATGTATGCTTTTTTTCCATTGTTGAATGAATAGGAAGTTGTTTTGAGGGATCTCTTGTTAACTTGTGTGAAGTTTGGGTGTTCTCATGATTAAACCATGTCGTGTAGTTGTACAATCATTTCCATCATTCATTGTTTATATGACCTCTCAGGCATGAACGTCAAAGTCAGCGTCGGATCGAAGTCTTTTCCCATACAAATAGGAAATGGAGACGGCATGATTTCAACAATGGGACAGCTGAGAGAACGGATTAGTGACGAAGCCAAGATCGATCCCACATGCATGAAAATCATACACAGGGGTAGGAGTTCTTATTATTTTTTGTGTTATATGTAATGTCGAACTACTTCAAAACTTCCCAATTCATGTGAACTTGATTCTGCCTTCGTTAGAAAAAAGACGAGTAGAGGCACTTGAATTGTAAACCAGCGCAAATTTTTGAAATTTTGTGTGAAATGTAACTCTGTAGTTGACAATGTTTCTTCCCTATGTTTTGAGAGTGTCAGTAGTTATTTGTTAGGTAAGGAAAGAACTCGACAGGTTTTGCTGTATCTTGTCAAATGTGAAGAAGGTGATCCCAATCGATGACAACTTTCCAAAAACTTGCATTTTTTATAGATTTACCAGGAATAAGGCTAAATTGACGACACCTTTCCAAACTTACATTTTTTATAGATTTACCAGGGATAAGGCTAAAAGCTAAAATTTGCCTCTGATGTTCAAGAACATCGCTTGACGCTTTTCATCTTTGTCCATTCGAGCTATAAGTTTTTGTATTTCTAAACTAACTTAATGAAGAATTTGATTGAAATTACATGTCCTTCCCGCCATATTTATTGGAGGCTGGAAGTCCTTGTTCATCAAGATCCCATTTTCATGAAGAGAAAAATCCCCTTGTTTCCTGTTGTATCCTACTATTCATTTCACAAGAAAAAAATTTCGTTTTTTTCCCTTTTAAAAAACATAGCTTTTAAGGTAAGACTATCCAAGGGAACGATGACCTGTCATTGTTGGATTTGAAATTCAAAGAGAACGACAAACTTCTAATCATGGGAAAAGTCTCCACAACCATGAAGGTTACTTTGGCGCTTTCAGTTATTAGCCGTATAAATCCTTAATTTAGTTCCTATACGTAAAGAGCTTTTATGATAAGATCTAAATTTATCTTGTAGTTGCATTGACTCCGGTAGTCTTATTGTGCATTCATTTTGTTTTCAGGATGATGCTGGATTCTCCGCTCTTGTTTCTTACGA